AGGTTTGTTCTTCTGAGTTTGCTGGGCATGGCCAACAGGAGTTGACATGTAGTCGTTTGCTGGTCAAGTAGACCAGTTCAGATGTTTTTTCTTTTTTTGTCAAGTAGACCAGCTGAGATGTTTTCTGCTTTGACTCTTGAGAAATCAGAGTGTTGCAGAGTAACATGGTTACAGCTTGAGGTACATCAAGGCATGTGGGCCTCAGTTCAATGTGAGAACTGAAGATGATCTCAGAATGTGGTGTTTGATCCGAGGCGTGGCCTTTGGTTCAAAACCAAAAAAAAGTCATGAAAGAGGATGATGTCCCAATTTTTGTTCATCCTGTGCTTGTTTGGTTTAGAAACCACAGGTTCCTTCTGTGTCCCTTCATGTCTAGGCAGCACCTTTATGAACGGTGGTTATTCCACTGACTCAGATCTGCTTTAGTACATCTCTGACCATGGCATCGCTGACGGAGTCCAAAGCTCATTTTGAGCAACGGGCCGAAGAGATAGGCTTGACAGATGGGATGCTATTGTGTCTGCAGACTGCAGATGTTCGTACAATGGGCACGATGGCGTATGCGCATGGCCAACCAGGACAGGCCACAACTGATAGAGATTTTCAGGATTGGGCCACCAACATGGCTGGCCGAGCGCCGACTATTGGAGAGCTAGCGTGCTTGCGGCGGTTGCACTTTGAATGCCAAACATTGGTGCTTGCTTCGTTGAGAGAACAGGTAACGAACCCGGAGCAGGCCATGAATAGGAAGATTCCTGAGGCCGAACGGGATGCAAGAATGGCAACCCTTCGTGCTTCGCTGCCAGGCCTCACAATTGAGGGGCCTTTTGGAGCCGAGTCATGTGTTGCTTCAGCTTTGTTCGAGCCAAAGGGAACAAAACCAGTTAGCGTACATCGCTCCCGAAAAGTGTGTAAGTCGGATGCATGAGGTAACCACATCAAAGACGCCAAACAAACAGCTTGCTCTTGAAGCCGAGAGATTGGTCATAAAAGAAGCAAGCTCAGTGCCTGATGAAGCAGTTCATTCCGCACTGCAAGTGCTGGAAGCCCTCAAGAGACGAGGATTGGGCTATGTGTTTGCCGACTCAGTGACTTGGCGAGCCTACGACAGGTACCTGCACACTTTGTTTGCGCACCTTCATAGAGACCCCCCGAAAGGTTTTGCTAGGTGCAGTGTGTCGCAACTAGTTGCCGCAGATAAGATGGTTTTCCAAGTGATGATCGAGAAAGGCGTAAAGCCAAAGAGGTCAACTGGTGGGGATTGTGCCATGGACGCCGAACTCCTAGAGGCCTTACACTCATATCAAGTTTCCTTCGGACTCATGCCATTGCCTGCCAAAGCTGAGAAGGAAAAAGAGAAGGAGAAGAAAAAAAACAGAAGTGCCCAAGAACGCCTTCGACAAGAACGCAAAAGGCAAAGGTAAAGGAAAAGGAAAGGCTGGAGTCCGACAGAGGTTCTTCAAGATTCCGCAAGCGATTTACCAGAAAGGCGGAGTTGCCGAGACGCCAGCAGGTGAAGCGATCTGCTTCTCATACAATTTGAGTCATTGTGCCAACGGACCCGATGGCGGTTCGTGCGCCAAGGGAAAGCATGTTTGCTGCAAGTGTTTTGGCGCGCATGGCATAAAAGATCATGGCTCCTGACTAGGGGCAAAGCGTGTTCATGGCGACGTCCTGCATGATTCCGAATTCATTAGACCCAGCAAAGCAGCTCGTACACTGTCAAATTCTCCATTCGTCCAACAGCGCACAAGTTTTGTTAATACCAGTGAACCGTGTTCTCACCCTCCAGGGTCTCCGACCAATGCCGATGTACAAAATACCGTCCTTGAGCAATCCCGTGTGCCGCATGATGCCAACAGCTTGCGTGACACTTCAGCTCCGTTCGTTGTGGAACTGTTTTGTGGTTCTGCCAGAGTCACGGCTTGTCTCAAAGCCTTCGGGGTGTGTCAAGCTTTCGGTGTAGACCATGTAAATAGAGCCACCACAGCGCCGGTTCGAATCCTAGATCTCTCCAAGCAGAAGGATCAGCGAACTCTCATGCGTTGGTTGCAAAGTCCATTGTGCGCAGGCATTTTCGCAGCCCCTCCGTGCGGAACTTGCAGTAAAGCCCGCAACATCCCTCTTGCGCAAAGGGTTCGAAAGGGTAACTTTTGCAAACTCCCTCGACCACTTAGGTCAGATCAGTTCCCTGAAGGTCTTCCGGGCCTTACCACGCTTGAACGCATTAAGGTCAGTCAAGCAAACAAGCTGTTCGACTTTTTGGCCACTGTGATCTTAAACTGTCTTGAGCGTGAGCAAACTGTTGCCGTCGAAAACCCCAGAGGCAGTTCCTTCTGGAAGACACGTTTTTGGAAAACAGTTTCACAGCATTTCCGCTATCAAGCGCATCAAGCACGTGGTTATGGAAGTTCTCGCCCCAAATGGACCGCCATAGCTTACAACCACTCCGCTTTTGCTAAGATTTCACGAACTTGTCCAGGAGAATCTAGGGCTCACGTGCACGAGCCCTGGGGCCTTGTACAACATGGCCCGGCACAGGGCAACTTTGCGACCGCTTTAGAGACAGCCTATCTGCCTGCTCTGGCTCTTCACATTGCCATTGCCTTCGTTGAAGCCATGAAGCATCGAGGATGGTCTCCTGGTTACACACCATACGAACCTCATCAGTTAATTGAAAACTCAGTGTTGCTTCGTTCAATCACTGGGCATCAACCTCGGGCTTCAAAAGCACCTGCCTTGGTTCCTGAATTTGCTTCGTGTCTCATGGTGCGTTCGCGCCATCCAATCCCAGCACCATGTCCAGTCATGACGAAGCTCACCAAACCCTGGCCCGTGCCGCCAGTGTGCTCTGCCCGAAGTTCCCATTCATTCCAAACTTCTCCGCGCCACACCAATTCGGTTAATCGGGGGGGATGGGGATGACTATGAGAAAGATAAGATGCCCTATGTTTTTGAGCTAGCCTGGGGCGTGCCGCATGAACCAGAGAAATTTGCGCAAGAAGCGGTAACAGCAGGTCACCCATCTCAATATGAATCCTTTTTGCCGAAGATTCTCCATCAAGCCCTTGAAGCGCACAAAGCCCTGAGCGACGCTGAGCTAGTTAAGTTAAGATTGAAGTGGGTCAAGAAATGGACTGAAAGATCCCAGACTCTAGAGCTCAGAGCCTCGGAAAGAGACCTTAAAGCTAGCCTCCCGCAACATGCAAAGACCATCCTTAAGGATAAGAAGATTGCCTTGTGGAAGGAAATGCTCGAAGATCTTCAGTACGAAGATATGGGAGTAGTGGATGAGTTGGTAGAGGGCACAAAACTCCTAGGTGAAGTTCCGCTAACCAATGTTTTTCCGCAGCGCTTCAAGCCGGCAGAGTTTTCAGTAGAAGACGCAAAACAGGAGTCTCAGACCCTAAGAGAAGTTGTTCTTAAAAAGACTAGATCCTCAGGAGATAGAGACTTGGATGCAGAGGTCTTTGAGAAAACCATAGAGGAAGTGAGTAAAGGTTGGCTGGCGGGGCCCATGGAGCTTAGCTCCCTTCCAGAGCCCTCTCTGATAGGTCGACGATTCGGCTTGAAGCAAGGTCCAAAAACCCGCTTGATCGATGACTTGACTGTAGGAGGCCAGAATGGAACGGTCCAGAGCAATGAATCGCGCAAGCCCCAAGGACCAGATGTCATTGCTGCAGTATTAATAGGCCTCATGAAAGTGCTACCGGGTGAATCCGTGGAAGGCCGTGCTTACGACCTCAAGTCGGCGTATAAACAGCTGGCAATTTGTGAAGGTGGTCTATGGGCAGCCTTTGTTTCCTGCTTTAACCCCAAGACCAAGTCACCTTCCATCTTTCAATTAAAGGCGGTCCCGTTTGGAGCAACGAGAGCTGTCTATTCGTTCCTAAGGGTGGTAAGGTCAATATGGTATATCGGTGTAGTGGGGCTGAAGCTACCTTGGTCCTGCTTCTTCGACGACTTTGTGGTCTTCTCTAAGCAAGGCATGGTTAAATCCACTGACGCTGCAGTCACCGCCTTGTTCCGTCTGATTGGCTGGAAATTTGCCGAGAAGGCGAAAAGTGTCAGCAGTTCTCATCCGAGGTGTCAGCGACATAGGCAAAAAAGTTTGTTTAAAAGACTTTAGCAGAGGCAAGGTATACTTTGACAACACGGAAAAGCGCAAGCAAGACTTGTCAGACTTAATCCAAGAGACCTTGAAGTCCAAAAATGTGACGCAGAAAGAAGGTCAGGTGTTGAGGGGCAAGCTACAATTTGCAGACTCTCAGGTGTATGGTCGGTTGAGTAAGTTGTGCCTAGCTGAAGTTTCAAAACTTTGCGCCAGTGGTGGCAAAGCCCTGGACGGGCAAGCAGAAATGGCCCTCAAAAGGTTTTTGGGTTTCTTGAGCTCCGGAAAGCCTAGAGTCTTGTCGTGTCATACAGATAGACCATTCTTCTTGTTTACTGATGCATGCTTTGAACCCACTAGCCCATTCTGGGCTTGCGGATTGGGGGGGCGTCTTGGTGAATGACCAAGGCATTCTGTTAGAGTTCTTTTCATGCTCTTTATCGGACGAGGAGATGAAAAAACTTGGAAGTGAATCCAAGAAGAGCATCATATTCGAAGCCTTCGAAGCTGAGCTTCTTGCCTTGATCGTTGCAATGTACCGCTGGTCGAGCGTGTTGAAATCAGCTTCGTGCGTGTGCTATATTGATAACAATGCGGTGAGGGACGTAGCAATAAGCGGACGAGCAAGAAATGCAGCAGGTATACATCTTCTCGAGAGACTTTTGCAAGTCGAAATGAGATTGGGTGTGAATGCTTGGTTCTGTAGAGTAGCCAGTGAGTCCAACATAGCAGACTATCCGTCCAGAAATGATCTAAGACTCTTCAATGCGGTTCGACAAGTTGAGGTAAAACCGCTGATAAGGCAGATCTTAAAAGGTTTCGGATAAGAGGGGTGAAGTGCAGATTCGAAGACCGATTCCCCATGTGCGCTGCGAGAAA